TATTACAAATCCCAGGCGCAGTATATCCCAAGGGTGTTAAGCAAATGTAAATTTTATTAAAATAAGCAAGTTTGAGCCATTAAACTAACACAATGCTACGATGTACTCTTGAGGATGCACAGAATCTGACCACTTTATCCATAATCCAAGGCTCATGGTCCAAGAGAAGAAAGGAAATATATGATCCCTTGGATCTAACTGGGATTTTTAGGATAATAGGAGTAATGAAATCATGTCTAAGATCACAGTAAAAAGGGCAATGAAATATAATATGCCCCACAGTTTCAACTTCCCCACGTACATGAGGGCTTATACAATCCTGGTATGGTGCATCCCCATATCTCCCAATTTTCAAACATTAAAAAATTATGCTTTCTAACAGGCTCCAAGACTATACAACAGTTCAGAGCAGGCCAAAGGTGATAATGGTGCCAATCCTTATCACGAAGTTAGACTGCTTAAATCAGAGTGGTTTCAGTGAGAATTTAAGCAGCCTAACCCTGTGCAGCCCTGCAACAGTTGTTTGATTGCGTTATTGGCAGATTAGATTTCCTGTGGCTTTCATCAGACACATGATTCACTGTTCATTGTATTATTTTATTCCGTTGAGTTGTCTGGATTCAACGCTTGAGACAGGCAGGATAATTTAAAAACAGAAACTAATAGGGGAGGAGGAAATCTTTCAGTGGTTTCCTTGGTATCATGACATGCATTACAGGACTGTACCACATAGAATGCCCCATTTCCACAAAGTGCTTTCTAACCATCAGGATCTTTTTCTGATGTGTGCAGGATAGAGACTGTTTACTGCAAGTTGTGCCTTTGTTGAAGAACAAGCTACAAGTGTGTTAAGACAGAAAGAGAATCTACTCATAATCAATGCTTGAGACAGGCAGGGGCTTACTTCCAGGAAGGTGTTTTTAGGATTTCACTGAAAGACAACCAGTAGCAGTACAAAGTTTGAGTACAGTGGCACCTTTAAGATCAACAAAGTTTAATCCTGGGTATAAGCTTCCGTGTGCATGCACACTTCTTCAGACAACATGGCTAGCCACCTGAAACTACCACCAGTATAATTAGGGCTGCCAAATGCCCCCGGGGGGCGGAATTCCCCCTGCTTTTGAGCCCCGATTCCTGCTCCCACGGAATCGGGGCCCGGGGTAAACCCCACCCCCGCGTGTGCGTCATCCGGAAGTGACGTCACACGCTGGGGGCGGGGCCACGCCATTTGAGGGGAAAACAAAGAGTTTTCCCCTCAAATGGCGTGGCCCCGCCCCCAGCGTGTGACGTCACTTCCAGATGATGCACATGCGGAGCGCACACGAAGAGGACGCCGGCTGGGAGCCCCCCGCTCCCGGCGAGAAATAATTTGGCAACCCTAAGTATAATTAATGGACTACTATTATGTTCTGAATCACCTTGAATACAAAATAACTGCCAAGGTGCCTGCAACAGCAATGGAACCTATCTACTACTACTGAAGGCATGACTTATATTTATTAAGTTCGACTTGTTAGGCTGCCCTTCGCTGTGAGCAGGGCTCAGGGCAGCTTACATCAATAAAAATACAATATTATTAGACTTAAAACAGCTTTAAAATTCAACAACTACAATCAAACAGTACAATCCAAGATAGTGATACATTTCCAAGATACAATCCAAGATAGTGATACATTTCCAATACCTGCTTACCCCCTGGGTTAAGTAAAATGCAGAGCGGTGGGAGGGGGGTGGGATATGAGAGTGCCAGTCCATCGCTGTTCTCAACCAAATGCCTGGCAGAACATCTCTGCCTTGCAAGCCCTATAGAATGGTAACAGATCCCTTAGGGTGTGGATGTTCTCAGACAGAGAGTTCCATGAGGTAGGGGCCAGGGCTGAAAGGGCCCTGGCCCTGGTCGAGGACAGCTGGATCTCTCTCACACTGGAGACCACCAGGAGGTTCTTATTTCCAGTTCGTAATGCTCTTCCTGGTGCATACTGAGAGAGTTCATTGTGCTAAATGTAGATGAGCCTTTGCTCATCTCTCCCTTTGTGCTCTAAGTAACAACTGGCCCATGGATTGCTACCAACACAGTAGGGTTGATGAATGCCTAAAATGACTCCCTTTTAGCAACTCACCATCTGCACACATTCCATTAAAGGCAGGCGGACAGCTTGGTTTCCAGACAAGGACACAACACAGGCAGGAGTTTTAGGTGTAGCCTCTAGAAGGGCAAGGACAGCCTCCACACCCATGCGGCTTGCCTGAGAACGAGAAAGATGTTCAAGAGTCTTTAAATACACATGCAAATTCTGATGAGGATATGCTGTCTTGGACACCAGCACCTACAAGCCACCTGCTGAATTTTTTAATCACTCTGATAAAATTAGAATTAATGCAGAAACTGAAGACAGAGATTCCTAGACTATAAACCAATATCCGAAAACAGAGTTGTGGGAGGGCTGTGGTTCACAAACCACGAACTGGTGATCTTTGTCATGAAATTAGGTTCATGCCTATCCCTAGTTGTGAAATTCTGAAACTGACTGGTTGTGTTCACTCACCAAAATCCTATCAAAAGCAGAGGGAGTGCCTCCTCTTTGAACATGGCCAAGGATAGTTACACGGGTATCATATCCCAGCCGCTGCACTACAAGCTGCAAAAGAGAACAAAATAGAGGTTCAAGAAAGGCAACAGATTTATAAACAACAGCAGTTGTGCTCACACTAACACATTATTGTGTAAGGACAGTGAGTGGAAATCCAAACTTAAACCTTTAAGAATGCTTAGCTCACATAAAGCTTATGATAATTTCAAATTCACACCAACCCCATTAGTTCTCAGGTCTACACTACATGTAGTCTACCTAATGTCTACACTACACCTAATGTCTACACTTAGGCAGGAAGTAACTCAAAATTTAAAGAACTGCAGACAACGCTGGAAACCCAACTTGACCAAGAGTGGGATGAAGGATATGAGCTGTACCACACACCACCTCCACTGAAAATAATATATTTTCTCTCCAGCCTGAAACAAAATTTTCTGTAACATTAAAAATAAAACATTTTGGTGAAATTATATAACTGAAGAGAGGGAAGAGTACTAATAAAAGCATCTTAGAAAGCTGAGGTAAAAATATCTACTGCTGAAATCAGAGGCATGGCAACCCATCCAAGAATGGGAGAAGATGCCCTGTCCCATTCTTTTATGCCATTATTCCCTGCCTTCCAACTCTAGATCTGAGGGAACTTTCCTTTCTGCCCAGCAGATTTTGATAAACTGCCCCTTTCTAAAGAATCCAATTTATTGCAGGGGTCCCTTTCCCAATGAGATCAAGAACCTCAGTCCAGCAGCAGTGACCTCACCTCACGGCTTTGGACTGGGCAGTTCAGGAGTCTGTTCAGGAACTGCCCTTGTCCTTCCTTCACACCTCTATGCGTGGCAGTACTGAAAACAGTTCTCAAGCACTGACATTTTCTACCCCAGTGCTCCCCTCCTTCATGATACATGGAAGTAACAACAATAAAACAACAACAACAAAAAAATCTTGCCGGTATTTAAATATGGGATCTCTCTTAACCCTAGAAGTTGCAACTGCTACTGAGAGAGGTTTCAGTATTCAAGAGAAGAAGAAGAGGAAGAAGAGGAGGAGGAGGAGGAGGAGGAGACTGGATTTATACCCCACCCTTCATTACCCAAAGGAGTCTCAGAGCGGCTTACAAACTCCTTTCCCTTCCCCTCCCCACAACAGACACCCTGTGAGGTAGGCGGAGCTGAGAGAGCTCTTGACAGAAACTACCATTGGACACTTACCGTGAGTGGTCCTTCTCCTCTGAGGACAGGAGGACATCTGCATGGGTTATTCCCACCGTGCCAATAGGGAGGCAGGAAGTAGATTTTTTCTCCCCTTCCTGTTGGCGCCTTTGGAACATCCCATCTCCAGTTCCGGGACTCCGAAAAGCAGTTGTGTAGCCTGAAACAAACTAACCTTGCCCTGTATAAACAATATAACTGTGAACAGTGGTTTCAACCAACAATTACTCTATCTAGTAACAGAGATAGAGATGAAAAAATAACTTAGAGGAGAAAAGAAGTCTCAGCACAGAAATTTGACCAGAATAGTCAGAAAGAAAACGGAAGGAAGGAAGATGACAGTGGGAGGGCCCAGATGTCCTCCTGTCCTCAGAGGAGAAGGACCACTCACGGTAAGTGTCCAATGGTCGTTCCTGTCAAGAGCTCTCTCAGCTCCGCCTACCTCACAGGGTGTCTGTTGTGGGGAGGGGAAGGGAAAGGAGATGTTATGCCAGTTGGCGGCACTTGACCAGCCGCTTTATAAGCTTCCACAATGCAGGATTTGAGTATCATGCTTAGGGATGATTTTGACAGTCTTTCACCCTTCCGGGGTGGAGAAATGCCAACGAACAGGGAGTCAGACTTCCTCAAAGACTCCGTCCTTACTATGTATATTTTCAGGGCTCTTTTCACGTCTAGTGTGTGCCAAAGATGTTCTTTTGGATGTTTGGGTTGTGGACAGAAGGTTGGTAGACATATTTCTTGCGAACGATGGAAACTAGAATCTACCTTGGGTCGAAAGGTAGGATCCGTCAGTAGCACCACCTTGTCCTTGTGAAAAATGCAGTAGGAGGACTTCACCGATAATGCATTCAGCTCGGAAACCCTTCTCGCCGAAGTGATAGCGACAAGAAAAAGAGTCTTCATCCGCAGCCATTTTAGCCCGACCTCTTTGAGCGGCTCAAACGGTGGTTTCATTAGAGCGTCTAACACCACATTCAGTCTCCATGTGGGAAAACGATGTTTTTGGGGTGGAGACATGGCCGTTGCCCCTTGTAAGAATCGTTGAATGTGAGGATGTTTTGATATTCTCACTCCCTCTAAGTCAGGAATCACAGTGGCGATTGCTGCTATTTGTCTGCGTAAAGTCGAGGCTCGGAGACCTGCGTCCAGCCCGTCCTGCAGAAACGCCAAAAGAGATGGTATAGAAGGTGAAAGTGGATCAACCCTCTTGCGTTTATTCCAACGCACGAACGCCTTCCACGTGGTATTGTAAATCTGTGTTGTGGATACGCGCCGTGATGCCATGATGGTGACTATGACCGGTTCGGAAAACCCTAGTGCTATCAATCTTTCCCGCTCAATCTCCACGCGGTCAAGGACAGCCAAGCTGGATTTGGATGCCATACTGGACCCTGTGATATCATCTCTGGAAATACAGGTAGCGTCAGGGGAGGTAGAATCGACATCCTTTGGATTGTGGAATACCATGGACCGTGGTGCCACTAAGATGACCTCTGCTCTGAGATCCCTGATTCTGCGCAGAGTCCTGGAAATCAAGATGAATGGTGGAAACGCGTAGAGCAGTCCTGTTGGCCATGCTGTTGTAAGAGCATCCGTCGCTTCTGCGGTCTGATGAAAGTACCTCGTGTAGAATCTGGGTAGTTTGTGGTTGGTTGGCGTTGCAAACAAATCCAGTATCGGACGTCCGAAGTGTTCCACTATCATGGCAAATAGATCCAAATGGAGTGCCCACTCTCCCTCCTGTATCGTCTGTCTGCTGAGCCAGTCGGCCTGCACATTTTCTATTCCCCTGATGTGCTCCGCTCTCAGGGATGCAATGTTTTCTTCCGCCCATGTCAGGATTTTCATGGACTCCTTGTGTAGTCTGCAAGAACGGGAACCTCCCTGTTTGTTGAGGTGAGCTTTTGCCGCTATATTGTCCGTTCTCACCAGTACATGTTGACCTTGTAGTCTCGAGAAGAAGTGAAGCAGAGCGAGATGAATTGCTCGTATCTCCAACAAGTTGATTGGTAGTAGAGTTTCCGAGGGTGACCACACGCCCTGCACCGGGGTGCCTTCCAGCGTCGCCCCCCATCCGGTGAGGCTGGCATCGGAGAAAATTTCCAGAAAACGACTTATATAGTAAGATTTCCCGGTTGTCAGATTGTTGAGATTTGTCCACCAGCGTAGACTTTGCTTGAGACTGAGGGGAACCTGTAAGTTGACCACCTTCTTTTGTATGATGCTCATCTGATGTGGTCGTAGAAACATTTGCAAGTCTCTTGTGTGCATTCGACCCCATTGTATCATATCTATGCTGGCGATCAAAAGTCCCAATAAACTTGCCAGTTCCATCAGAGTTGATGATCTGCTGTTGCACACCCGTGTCGCGATGGTCTTGATCTTTTGCGCTTTGGAAGGTGGTAGGAATAGAGCAGACTGTCTCGTGTCGATCAGCGCCCCTAGGTGTTCCACCCGTTGAGTTGGTAGTAGGCAACTCTTCTCCAGATTTATGAGGAAGCCATGGTCGCGTAGGCACCGAATCGTCCTCTCCGTGTTGGATACAGATTCCTGATGTGAAGACGCTCGGACTAATAAGTCGTCGAGGTACGGGTGAATATGGATGCCGAAATTTCTGAGGTGACTTACTGGATTGACGATCAGCTTGGTGAACAGTGGCGGTGCTGTTGAGAGGCCAAACGGTAGTGCCCGGTATTGGTAGTGTTGTCCATAGATGTAAAAACGAAGGTACCTCTTGTGCGCAGGGTGTATGGGCACATGCAGATACGCCTCCGTCAGATCTATGGATGTCAAGAATTCGTTGGGTGCCAACGAATCTGCGATAGACTGCAGTGTTTCCATCCGGAATCTGCGAAGGCGAATAAATTTGTTTAAAAATTTTAAGTCCAGAATGGCCCTCCAATCCCCGTTCTTTTTGGGGACCATAAACAGGATGGAGTAAACTCCTCGACCTTTCTCGTCTGGAGGTACTGGTTCTATGGCCTTGATCTTGATCAGGTGTAGCAGAGCCTTGTTGACAATGCGCTTTTTGGTTGTCGACTTGCTGGTTGGTGATCGTAGAAAACGTTCCGGGGGCTGTTGTAAGAACTCTATGGTGTAGCCTTGAGACACGACCTCTAAGGCCCAGGCGTCCACCTGTGCCATTGACCAAGTGTTCGTGAAATGTGAAAGTTGTGCCCCTACCGGTATGTCGGAATAGTCAATTTTGCTTTGTTTTGGAATCCTTCGCTCCTCTGTCGCTTCTATTGAAGTGAGATCTCTGAAAGCATGCGTTGAAGGATCCCCGTCTGTTGTTCTGCTTGGCTGGCTCCCACGTGGTTCTCTTGGTGTCGTGACGAAACCGTGGCAGGGTATGTTGGGAGTGAAAGGACTGAGGATAGCGTCTGTCAGCGGTTCTCAAAGAACGAGGCATAGCTTTTTTCTTGTCTCTGGTTTCGACAAGAATGTTGTCAAGCGCCTCGCCAAACAAACGATCACCCTGAAAGGGGTAAGCCGTCACAATGGACTTTGAGAGTGCGTCCGCGTGCCAAGCCCAGAGCCAGAGCATCCTTCTTGCGACTGCGGTGGAGGCCAGCCCTCTTGACGCGAACGAAATGATGTCCAAAGTCGCGTCTGCTGTAAAAGAATCTGATTTCAGCGTTCGTGAAATGCCCTCTAGCAGTGCGCGATTGTTCTCAGGTACTAGTTGCATAAGCTTCCTCAGCCAAACAATGGAGGCCCTTGCGGCGATGGATGCGGTGGATGCTGCCCGTACCATCATGGCAAAAGATTCATGGATCTTGCGCAGGGTGGCTTCCAATTTCTTCCAATTTCTTGTCTGTAGCTTCCCGGATGTTG